ACAATTGGGTGGGGAGGAGGCAGCCTTTGGCTCTTGCGTGGGGGAATTGAAAAGGAGAAAAAAAACAACGAAGCACCAAGTAGCAGTGACGGAGAACGGAGAAGACTAGTGGCCGGCCAAAGGATTGGAGAGGAGGATTCTGGATTGTTTTTAATTAGCAAAGCGGCGCCGTATTTGGACCGGCATACCATGTAGAACTCGAGATTGACCTGGATTTTTGGCATAGATTCACCAAGATTTATAGAAAATTCGGTAGGGATATGCAAAATTTGTGTCATCTTGCCAAAAATACATTGACGCGAGTTATTTGACACGAAATTATCGACCAGCCCGTGTCAGGGCAAGTAAATTTTTTTTACTTGCCTATCATCGAACCGTCCGTGATAGGCAAGTTAAAAAAAAGTTCAAAATAAATTTTTATATAATCTTCTACATACAATACATGTCTATAAATGTAAGCTCTTTTCAAATTTTTAGTATGCCAGGGCTCAAGATGCCCCTAGCTACGCCACTAATAATAATTTTATAATAGTCACTGAGGATTAGAATATGGTAGATTCTGTGGTACCCAAAAGGTACCATAGTTTTGTCTACTTGGATCAATCAGAATATTGCCCTTGAATCATTTAAATCTAAATTAAAAATGATATAATGATTTGGACCAATCATGTGAGTGGTAGGTACGGTACCCCCTTTTTAAATGGGTACCGGAGTTGTCACCTTAGAATATTGAAGGGTGAACAAAATTTTAGTGTAATCATCTAGTTTTGTTACATTGAGTTGTACACTACTAAGATTAATGTGGAGATTGATGTTTTGGATTGAACATGCATGAATTGAATATATTTGGCTGTCTTCCCGATTGAATTTTTTGTTGAAATTTGATATGGATAAACTAGACTTGATAAATAACATACTCCAAAATTTTCATTAAAAAAAACCATCAGTAAAGGTCCGAAACAGCCTCGGCCGGAAAATGGTTTCTGTCAGGCCGACTGGACATGAATTGTTATCTATATTGTATATGGAGCAGGTTAACATATTTTTTCATGTACCATTTTGGCATGATAAATGATCATTAGTATCTAATTTTATTTTTGTGCGAATTGAAACTCCATTATTTATCACTCTACACGAATTGAACTAATTTTGATTGTAAACACAACTTATTCCATGAATTGGTGTAGCTAGGTGACGTGTTCCTAATTGTTTAAGGTCGTAGAATATATAATAAGGAACCCTAATTTCTCTTTCACATGAAGTGAATCACATCTACCAATTTGACACAAGCACTGCTGATCTTCTGACTTATTTATGCTGCTCATCTTTCTTGCTTGCAATGGGGTTTAACCTTTGACAAATAGCTCGTAGCTTGACTTATCAATTTCTGATCATCCTCATATTGCGAGAGTCCAATTTTTGGCATTGCATTTTATTTTCTTTCAAATTTTTATAATATTTTCTATTTATGGTAATAACAAATTGTAAAAATATATGAAATTAATTTTTTTTATGATCTTTTCAATGGTACTAGTATTGCATATGAAAAATGAGAAAAAATCTACGGAGTTTTTTCTAACCATATACTCCGTATCTTTTTAGCCAGATTTTTTTATTTTATATATGCAAAATTTGTACTATATGAAAAATCATAAAAATTTAAGAATTACGTAGCATATATTTTTAAAAGTTTGGACCATAAATGATTTTTTAACAATTGCCAAACAAATGAATTATCATGCCACATGGAAGGTCATCCCATAGGGAGGGGGTGAGCAATGAGGATCACCTCTTTGATGAGTGAACAAAGTTTCTTTCATATTGAGTCAGTTTTTATTAGACACTACAAAAAAATTATGGAATTAACTGGCACCGATTTGACATTTACTGATAATTTCATGTCAAAATGGTCGTGCCAAAATATTTTTGGCGCGAATTTGAAATATTTCTGCCAAATCTTCTATGAAATTTGGCAAATTTCTACCAAAAATTCTCGTCAATCTGTGTTTTGTTTGTAGTGAGAGTTATATTTGAAACGGTAGTGACAATTTATCTAGAGTTTTGATATAAGGAATAGAAAGTAGATGGTAATAAGATATTTACAGCGGGTGTTTTGTTTGTAGTGAGAGTTATATTTGAAACGGTAGTGACAATTTATCTAGAGTTTTGATATAAGGAATAGAAAGTAGATGGTAATAAGATATTTACAGCGATGTATCATTGTATTGTCATATTTGTTTTCACCGATTCATTTTTTTTTTTCACAAAAGAAACCAAAATTGTATAAAAGGGAATATATTACGTACATTATATTACAAATACCAACAATGAAGCATATTACATGTATGCACACATTAGTTTAAGTTAATATACCATTCACTGATTCACTATTAATTAAGCCGGGATAGATGTAAACGCACCAATGAGTTAGATTATTAAGACGACGTGACTTTGATGGTGTGAACTAAATTCCCAACATTGAATTAATTAATCCTCTGTTTAGATGCCTGGCGTTTTGTATGAAGTCTACCTTAAACTACAAATTCATGTTCAATCAGTTAAATCCCTCAAAAGAATAAATACTCCTAAGAATAGAGTTTTTCTTCCTATTCAAACCCTTATCATATTTTAATAACGCAGTTATATTTTCATGGTTATTACATGGTATTTTTACAGTATTACATGAAGGCAACACTGGTCGAACAAAAAAATACCATCATGCACTAGTATTGCCTTCATGTGGTATTGTAAAAGTACAATGTGCCGTGTAGATCGTAGTGTATAAATTTGGCATTTTTCATTCCAAATATCGAAAAAAGATGAAAATGTATACGCAAAGAACTAGCTATGTAGTAATGTCAACTTATACTCGTGCCTACGCCCGTCTATTATTACTTTTACTTCTTCTTTTCCACAATAGTCGCTCGGTATTTAGTGTGAATTGACATGAATATGGAAATTTGTAGCTTGTTCATATATGATTTGTTCACACATACATATATACTTTCCTAAAAACTACTTTTCCTTTTTAAACATGCAAGTACTTGGAACTTTTCAAGTCAATGGATATAAAATTTACTATAATTATATGTTTGTTGAAATTATAAGTTTTATACTTTTATGATACTCCGTATGATACAGTAGTACTACATAGTATTTTTGACTGAAAATATTTTCATATTAATTTTATAGTATAATGTCCCATACAAATATATGATTGGTCAAAAATTAACATTAGTGATAAAAAAGTGAAAGATGATAAAATTTGAAGTGAGGAATGGAGTAGATATACCAAAACACGTTTGGTCTGTCCTGCGCACGGCCGGTAAGCTGGTGTCTTGATTATCAACATCAAGCAATGTATTCGTTATTATAGTTTAATTCAATCGTTTTATTAAGTAAGCGTTGACTCTTCTAATGTACATATTAAGTTAACTTTGTTTCTATTGAATGCTAATTGTGTTCTATTTATAAACTCACCTAACTATCTAATGAGGTGTCCTGAAATACAAGGTCAGGTACAAGATGTATGTGCTGGAATCTCCCTTACATCTAATCATACCCCAACACCGTATTTAACACAATAATGACCCAATTAAAATGAAATTAACACTACCTACATTTTACAGCATACTCGTATGTCACACGGACAAGTTTATTTATACGTAGTATAGTTAAAATTTGGAATTTTAAATACCAAGTCTATGTTTATTTTTCTCACTATATCATAATTTCTACATTGCAAGCCCTTTTCTACTTATATTTTACTTTTTATTATGCCTATTGGGGATCCCTACCAATCCCTAACAAAATCTGTGTTAAATATTTTTATCACAACTTGATTATCCGTGTCAAAAGTATGTTTGATTCGTGAGCAGAACTCGATTAATCTGTATCAATTCTGTGTCAATATGATTAAAACTTATCATAAGCTATCGAAAAATCCATATATGCACTATGTGCCAGTGTGCCACCATTATTCAGACTTGTTGCGCTGATATAATCTTTTAGTGAATTGTGAGAGATTTCAAAATAAAAGGCCTTGATGTTGTTTAACTACATTAGGTAGATTTACTACATAATTTGTGAGCATATGCACGAATTACCGGGTTAAAACCATCTTTCTTAATGCCCTTTTAATTTCGACTCATCACAAAACTGTGTATTTAGCGGTCTTAAAAATTATCTCCTTTTACATTTGAAGTATTAAATATACTACTCCCTTCGTCCCTAAATAAACTTCCATTTCGCTTTTCGAGGATCAACTTAAATCACACTTAAACTCTTACTTTATATATCAAAATTTTATAAAAATTGGATTATTTTTTGCAGACTTTGTAGCGGGTTTAATGTAGTTTCTGAATATGTAAATTTTATTTACGAAAAATAATCCGAGTTTTCACATGGATCATTTAACTTTATTGTTGGTCAAACTTCGTAACCCGTGATCGGAAGTTTTGTTAGGGACGGTGGTAGTACTCCATATGTACTCCGTGTATAAACTTATACATGGATTAGTACTCGCAGTATAAACTCATATTTCATTCTTCTGTCAACAAATAAACCTAAATTACATTACTACTTTTTATTGTATTATACTTTAACTTTGGTCAACTTTTGTGGAACAAAGGGAATATATTAACAATAAGTAGAATTAAGAAATATTAATGGATGATGTTTCAATCTGACTAATTTTGTGTGGCTCTATTTCATTTTTAATTTATATTCACTTTATCAATTTATTACGTAGTACCAATCATATAACTCTAATTTTCTTAAAAACTGTACTGGTAGTAAAATACATATAAAATGAATTTTTACCTGATTCGACCGGTTCAGATATATTCATACACCATACGAAACTAGATAATTTAAATCGAGGTGAAAATATTTGAGAGAGATTTTAAGATAGAAATGCTCAAAAGTGGATGGTGTTGCCTTTTAGTCATGAACTTTTTCTCCACTATAAAAAGGCGAACTGAAGTTTCTCCAAGAGGGCATTGGACGAGATATTTTATTCAGTCCCTCTTTCATGTACATAAATTGCTGCAAATAGACACGACACTGCAGCCTGGCTCCAAAGCAAAATTGTAGAATAGATATACATATCAATGAAGCTTTCAATGAATCATGTACGGCCATGCACAATCAGATCACCCTTTCTCCTACATAACCAGGTTTTTTCACCCAATTCTACCCACAAAATCACTCCTAAAAGACATAGAACTTCAATTCCAATCCTCAGCTTGAAATCTGTCCAAGCTCCTACAAAAAGATTATGCCAGAAATGGATGGATTACCAGGGGATCAGCAACTGGGAAGGACTTCTTGATCCTCTCGACGACACTCTACGGGAAGAGATCATAAGGTACGGAAACTTCGTCGAAGCCGCTTACAAGTCGTACGACTTCGACCCGTCGTCTCTGACCTATGGCCGCTGTCGGCACTCGAAGGGGAAGCTCCTTCCACGGGCAACCGGATACCAGGTGTCCCGACATCTGAGGGCCACGAGCGGTATCCGGGTGCCCCGGTGGATGGAGCGAGCCCCGGGATGGATGTCCACGCAATCGAGCTGGATCGGTTACGTGGCGGTGTGCAACGACAAGAATGAGATCGCCCGGCTCGGGCGGAGGGACGTGGTGGTTGCGCTCCGCGGCACGGCCACTTGCTTGGAATGGCTTGAGAATCTAAGAGCCACTCTTACTCCTCTCCATGAAAACGATAGTTGTGGGCCAATGGTGGAAAGTGGGTTTCTAAGTCTGTACACTTCAAGCACCGGCACTGCCCAAAGTCTTCAAAGCTCAATAAGGGAAGAAATTTCAAGAATCCTCAAGGCCTACGGTGACGAACCCTTGAGCATTACCATCTCCGGCCACTCTCTCGGGGCCGCTTTGGCCATCCTAGCGGCCTATGATATCAAACAAACATTTCGAAACTCGCCACTTGTGACCGTCATGTCCTTTGGTGGGCCCCGGGTCGGAAACCCGAGCTTCCGACAACATTTGGAAAAGAACGGGACGAAAGTGTTAAGGATCGTAAACTCCGAAGACCCGGTAACGAGGGTTCCTGGTTTCGTCATCGACAACGAGAACGACGAAAGAATTGATAGTTACAAAAAAAGCGTTTCCGGTTGGTTTCAAAAATTGGTGGAAGATACACAATGGGTGTATGCCGATGTGGGATGCGAGCTCCGGCTCAGTAGCCGGGACTCGCCTTACCACAACGGCATAAACATTGCTGCTTGCCATGACCTCAAGACGTACCTCAATCTCGTCAGCTCCAATTGTCCGATCAGAGCGACCGCTCAAAAAATCATTGCAAAAAGAATGAAGCAAACAACTGTGGCTGTGTGAGTATATTGTGACATGAATCATAGACTCACACATGTGACATTGTACGGACGTTGTCAAACATTCTACAACGTGTGTACGTCCTATGTACATAAACTATTAACATGTCTTCAAGAGGATCAAAGTGGCCAATGAGTGGATCATAGAGAGAATATATGATACATGAGGTAATTAAATTAATTAAAGATTACTTTTTCCAAGGAATATTGGGAAATAAAAATTGAGATGATCGATCGAACAGGTTTCGAGGTTCAACTTATGTTTATGTGTTTTTATGCAAGTGAGATTTACCCAATCTTAGTTGATTTTATAGGTTCAAATTGTTCCTTGAGCTTAGGGTGCATAATTTTTTAACAGAATTTTGGTAACGTAGCACATTTGTATATTTGGTTGTGATATTGACATTGTTATTAATTCATAACCATCTATCAAAATTATGAATATAATTTTGTTGTGATATTAACTACTACATCCGTCCCAAATTGAGTTGCAAATTTGACTTTTATTAGTCAAACAGTCTCGTTTTGTTCACTTAATTAGGATGCCGATTTTTAATTATATTCTAATTTGGAGTTTACAACTTTGAAGAGATTTTAATGTAGTTTTTGAATATGTAAATTTCAATTATTAAAAATTGAATTAGTTATCCATAGAAATGGTTGACTTTTATTATTGGTTGACCAAAAAATGTTGATTTTGCAAAACAAATTGGGACAGAGGAAGTATGTTACTAGCTTCAAGTTCAAACTTTTATGGATATATATACTCCGTAATATTCATTACTCCATCCCACAAAACTTTACAACTTTTGTTAGGTAAACAATCTTTTTAAAATTCATTTAAAGTAACAAATTTATAGTAAAAATTACTTCTTTCTCATCTTTTCAATCACATAATCTTTACTTTTTAGTACATATTTTTGAAATTTAACTACATTTTGTGAGAGGAGAGAGTAATATTTAGGACTTCTAGCTACCAAATTAAAGGATCATAGTGAGCGGGCGGGGGGCTAGATTGTAAGAAACGTAATCAGGTAAATTAAAGATCACAAGGTGAGAGGGAATTTGCGTCAACGAAACTAAGTCTCGCACGCACGAGCAACTCTAGCTTCTAGTGTGATTTAGGTCTTTTGATTTATGTGTTCGACTGATCGTACACATAATTTGCCAAATGAACTAGAGACATATATATGTTGTGTTGCAAATTAACTGACAAAAATTGGTCAATTTTCAAGGCTTTGGTTGTTCAAGGACTGCAGAAATTTGTTAACATAAGCACCTAACTCTCACCGAAGTACCGTACGTACGCACTATCATATTACAAAAATTCATAATTTTAATTTTCATTGCGACAAATTAAAGATTAGTTTTAGAATCATGATCTATAGCCCTATAGGTCTCTCAAAAAAACATGATATATAGGCATGTCTTAGGATCAAGATGTTTAATTGGACTGGTTTCAATTTCAAACCAGACAATACAAGATCAAACTTAAGTAGACCAAATCACACCAGACCACAACAGATCATATCTACCAAACGAGATCAGATCTAACCTAAACAGACTAGACTAACTATATCAAACTAGACCAGATCAGACAATCAATTTATGGCTCAATTAAAAACATCCTAATAGGGCACACCCACAAAAGGTCAAGAGTCATTTTATAACACTAAAATCAGCTAAATCTCCTACTACTGTACGTGAAATTATGATCGAAGTGGCTGAATCGATCTATTGAATATGCTCAAATATGAAAATTTACAGCTAAAAATATACATTGTACTCCCTTCGTCCCAAATTAAATTTGAAGATTGACTTTTTTGGGCCAAACACATTCATCTAATTATTTACCTAATTAGGATACCAATTCTTAGTTAAATTCTCCCTACTAATAATTATTTTAACTTTATAAATAGTGTAATGTAGTTTTCGAATATGTAAATTTTAATTATTAAAGTTGAAATAATTATTAGTAGGGAGAATTTAACTTTAACATTGAGTGACAAAAAAATATTAACTTTGCAAAAACAATTTGGGATGGAGGTAGTAGTTTATTATTATAATAAAAAAGTGAAAATAGTCATATTCAGCAAATTCAACCAGAAAAGTAATGCAATCTTAATTGTTTTGATTATTACACAATTCAAAGAGCAAAATTAAAAGTTACTTATTTGATAAAAACGACTGATAAGACAAGCATGTCGAAAATAGAAGTTACCAAATGGACTTTGAATAATTAAGGGAACGTTTTCGTTTGGTTCAACTTTTGAGAAGTGATTAACTTTAGAAGTTAAATGAAAAGTGATTAAAGTAAAAATTGGTAGTGTTGTTTCAGAAAAATGATTATGTAAAAATAAAATGTATAGTGTTTGGTAAAAGTGTATTTTTCTCTGATAGAAAAAGTGAAAATTAGTTTAAGACACACCATCTAATCTTAGAGCCAGTTTGATAACCCCAAAATCGGCTGAATTAGCTAAAAGGTCATCTACAGTAACTTCAGTTAATACAACAAAAAAAATATCAACCTTACTTTTTCTTATTATTACACAATTCAGCGCGCAAAATCAAAAGTTACGTATTTGGTTTGGGTAATAAGGGGCGAAAAACAGAGTAACCAAACGGGATCTTAACTTCTACCCTCAAATGTTATGATTTAAGTAAAAACAATGATTTATTTGAATACACTATTTCTGAATTTTTAAAATTAAGAGGTGACTTTTTAAAAATCATCTAAAAGACTCCCTTAATCTCTATCTCTAAATTCTTTTGATCCTACGAGTTTTAGATCAATTCCACATTTAGTCCACATCTTCACTTTGTCTACTTTTGATACATGACTATTGTGTTTACGCCCATTATTGGTCTTTTCGGCATTGTTTCCGATGGTTAAAATCGCCGAAAAGGACCAATAACAGTTAAAAACATTAGTCAAGTACCAAAAGTGGATAAAGTGAAAAATGTGGACTATAGGTGGAATTGATACCAAACTCGTAGGACCAAACGTGGAATTAGGGGCGTAAGAATTAGGCAGGAGTAAGAGTTGGGTTGGGCCGGTACAAAGAAATTTTTACAGATAAATGTCTACACATAAATTTGCACACTAAAAATATAAGCAATTTTAAAACTTGGGCTGAGTCGTGGCCCGGTTGCCACCCCTTCACCTTCACCCCTGAGTGGAATTAATTCATTCAAAAAGGATGATCCCTCATTCCTGAGGACTACAGAATGAGTCAGATTATTAAAAGGGGTGGTGTAAATTATTAGACATTAATTTGAAGTTGAGAGGTAGCGAGTGACACAAGACCTAGATATTAAAGCCTATATACTTCCTCCGTTCTTTTTTAATTGCAACGGTCAACATTTTATATTTGCCAATGCACATCTTTGACCGTAAATGTATCTTAATCTCTATTAGTAAAAAAAATTAAATTTTGAAAATTTGTAATGAGATGAATTGAAAAATATTTTTTTAAAATAAATCATAAAATAATAGTGTAAAATGTAGTCAAAAAAGAACACACGAATAGTGTAAAATTTAACATGTTACAATAAAAAAAACGGAAGATAGTACATAAAAACATTTCCTCATGGTTGCCTGGATCCAACCTCAGACTTGCCTTTATCACACTCCTATCTACGAGTATCTTTTGTGATCATATAGTCCTGAAATTATGATGGTATAAGTATGGAATGATTGCAGCTTTTGAACAAGTCACCGCTCAATTATAATTCTGAGGCGTGTTGATAGTATAGTAGGATCTCTTGAAAGGACATTTAAAAGCTGCAATTTGTTTTTCTGCAAGGAAAAAATGATTAGGGACTGAGATTAGTACGGTCTTCCCCCATTTTAAAGGCCTGGCATTCGCCGTCCCTGACTGGACTGTGCCCGAACACGCGGACTTTGACTAAACTGGGCCACCGTCCAATACGTGTTCTGGGCCGCGCTCTCTTAAATGACCAAAACACCCTACCAAACTCGAGCCTGGTCTCACTCCATATGAAACCCTTTGGTGTCCTTTTGGACTTTGCATCCCCAAGAAATTGGAGAAGACGGTGAGAAAAAACAATGCACAAGGCTGATACTCCGTACAAAAGAAAATATGGGGAATTATGAATTTGTATTGACAAGTTGACAACTCTAATTTTTTTTATACTCTTTTTTATTTATTCATATCTATCTATATATAGTATAAAAAACACAAAAAAATAATCATTTAATTTTCTAAAAATGGATGATGGATTTTTTTAGGTAAAGAAAAGTTTTGTACTTTTCAAGCTTAAAGCACATGAAAATTCCTTTCCTTAACGTATTTCCTTTCAACAGCACTTTTCATGATCCAAAGCACCTTTGTCTTTTTCGCATTTGTCAGATCATCTATTATTGCATTGAGTATATTAGCTCGGCTCTTACACATGAAATCCAACTTTTTGGGTTTCCCCCCTTTTCAGCTTTTCTTACATACTCCGTATAATTCAAAGTCCACAAATTTATGTTAACCTTCATTTAAAAATTACTACCTTCGTCCCTAATAAAAGATCCAAATGGGTTGGACACACAGTTTAACATAATGCGTATTGTATGATGGAGAGTTGTGCAGAGAAGAGAGGAATGTGTAAGAAATATTGTGAACCACAAATTCTTTACCAAAAAAGGAAAGTGAAAGTTTTAATTGGGACGGACGAAAGGGGAAAGTTGAAAGTTTATTTAGGGACAGATGGAGTATTACTTTTTAGGACACTTAAACTTTCTCTATTTTCAATTGTTAAGCATGTTGCAATATTTATGCTTATTTTCACTTGTTGAGCATGTTGCAAGATTCATCCTTTAATAGTGACGGAGTCAGAAAAACATGTCAGACGCAGTGGCGGATCTCTCATTTAAATTTTGGATGTTCATTTGTTCTAAAATTAAAATTTGAAAAGACAATAACTAATTTAAACTAAAATTATACATGTATACTAACACTTTTTTCAAAAATCTAGGTGTTCATGTGAACACTTTTGCACTAAAGTAGGTCCGCCACTGGTCAGACGGCCATAATTTTAGTCATGAGCATTATTAAGAGGGTGACTAAATGTTACTTCAAATGAGTGCTCGTGAATGATTGATTTGACATATACTCCGTATGTATTCCACCATAATATATTATTAACTTCATGTAACTTAGGAGTGAAAAGGATATTATTTTTAAAATTTGGGAATATAATTAATATTACGAATCCACTTTCATCATTTTAAGTTTAGCTGTTGTTGATTTTCCGGGAGTCATAAATGTTGACTTGTAACGAGTAACATGAGACAACATATCAAACTGAAGGTATTTCAATATTCTACATTTTAGAACTTTCAGTGGAGTTGACAAGTCACACTG